GGTGTTATTTTTCTAAGCTAATTGGTAACCTGACTTACTCATAAATGACACATATATAATAAAAGGTTTTATATTGCAGCATTGTAAATAGGAAAAGTTTAGAAACAGTCTAATTATTCATTAAGTCATTTGTTGAATATAAATATATGACAGTACTGTAACACAATGGAATGTCATGTGAATGTGAAAAAGAATAAGGAAGCTCTTTGTGTACTGACATGAAAAGATCTCCAATATAAATTTAAGTGAAAAAAAGTCAAGGTACATAAGAAAGAATATGCTATATTATCTATAGTGTTTATACTTGCAAAAAGAAACTTTGAAAGGATATAAAATAAAATAATAAGAATGATTACCAATATAGGCTGAGTGTGTTTAGAGAAATGTGTAGGCGAGGGAAAGAGCAGAAGTTTAGACCTAATACTGATATTTACCCAATACACACCGAATGAGCCATAATGGTTGATAAAATACTGCAATATTTCTAAAACAATTGGTAAATGACTGCTATGCTGTTCACCCCTTACCTTGAATGCTGCCTCAGACTGTTTCCCAGGGAGCCTCCAAAAATCAAATAGCCAAGACATAATTACAAGTATTAATATAAAAGACTTATTTAGAGAAACATTTGTGAGGAGTAAAAGGAGGGGGAGCGGGAGTAGGTAGGAAGAATCTTTAGACTCTCATGCAGGTTGCGCACGTGTAAAAGGAGAAAAGAAACAAAGGAGAGCTGGGTAGGAAGAGCCTCAGCTACATTGTACTGCAGCTCAGAGAAAGTCTCAGCCAGGTCAATGGGGTGCTCAGAGCAGACTGTTCTTTAGAGAACTCTGTGTTCAGCAGGCATACCCCAGCCTTAATACCCACCATGATGCTCAATCATTGGCAAGAGCAGTCCAGTGAGAGCATGGCCCCACTTTGAACACTGGTGGATCTCTAATGAGCAGCAGCTAGACTCTGTCAGAGGATTATGCTAGGAGTATACAAAGCAGGGTCTCTCTCGAAGCGAGATTTGAGCAGCAATATCCCATGACTGTCACAGCACAAATCCACTTCTCTATCCAGATTCATTCTTTTAAAGTTTTATGGGCTTCTTATCCTTAGGGGAAACTTAAAAGAGGCAGGATAGTGGAAAAAGTACAGCCCTTACCCCTTCAGGTGATTTTAGGGGCACGCTTGGTCTGCCTCCTACTGCACTGTCCATTCTAAATTCCCTTCATCCTCAGTATCACTTCAACAGGTCTTGATGTCTTACCTGGTGGTACAATGCCAAACTTCATTCCTGAGGTGTCTGAACTCTTTATAATAATACCCTCTCAAATTACATTCACAGTTAAAGTTGTGCAAGGGAGTATCAGGAGATGCCCAAGTGGATCATGTGGCTCCTTTCCCACATTGTAAAAGGCAGCTCTACCTCCTCCTGCTGATCAGATTAAATATCCTTTGTAAAGATGGTGACTCTTCTCATCAACAACTGGTCTCATGTATAAGGAGTCCCAAGTGCCCTGGCAGCAGCCATAACTTGTACTTCAATGGGACTCTTGTTATATCCCTTGATAACTATATGCCCCCTTTTGGGAATCAGGACCTATAACTCTGCAGAGCCCAGAGCTGCTGTGACAAGAAGCACATGAGCCTCCAATCAGTTACTAGCAGTGATGGCAAGCGGGGCCATTTGTGATTCTGTCTTCTTGGGAATATGTGTTCCTCCTACTGTGGATAGAACACCATACAGAAATCTTGTATTTGATGCATATACTGCATCTTACAGGGTAGCACTAAATCTCACAGAGTCTTGCATCATTGTACCTTCAGTAGGTTACTCAAGCTCTCTGTGAGGCCAGCTGCTTCTGGATGGTATAGTATGTAATGTGACCAGTGGAGCTCATGGTTGTGGCCTTACTCTCACACTTCCTTTACTGTTAAGTGAGTTTTCTGGTCATATGCTATACTCCTTCAAGGCCACCCATGACTGTGGCTATAAATGCCATCTATTTTCAGCTTGAACCAACATACTGGGCTGACCTATTTATAAACCAAGTTCAGATTTTTTCCCCCTTCAGATGGCCATAGAAGCAAGCTCAAGTAGTAAGTGTGGCGGATGATATGGAGGTCTGTGCTACCTGATCATGCAGTTTACTCTTACCCTCTGTTCCTGCTTGAACCTGATCGCAGAATGACTGTATCCACTTTATAATGGACAGCTTCTGGGCTTATCTGATGTCTCTGACTTGGTGCGTCTGCTAGAACCTGATTTGTAATTGGCAGTTCTTGATGCATGGCCATTTGGTCCCCGGTGATACATTTTTGTCTCTTATGGCCCAATACCATGCCAGGAGCTGTGTCACAAAGGGCATATAATTCTCTGGTATGGAGGCCTTTGCTTCAATATCCCAGGAAACTGCATTAAGATTCTCAAACTGGATATTGCCATAAGCTCCACCCTGCATCTTTTCCCACCACTGATACCTCTAATACCATGATGTCTGCATGATTATGTGGCACAAGCAGCAGATATGATGATACCACAACCTGGACTTTTTTCACCACCCTTTCTGTTCCAGGCTTCACTGAAATCTGGCAGCCTCTAGT